CATGAGCTGTGTTCTCTACTTAATACTCAATTTTCTGATTTCTAATACAATCAAAATCTAATACCTAGAAAAAGATTTTTGTTTTCCAAGAATATAATTCATCTTACAGTGATCACCTCTTTTTAAAGTCCCAAATATGTGCCCCTCATAAATCTTTGCAATCAGTGGTATAATGTATCAGGGGATATAAGGTGTGAACAATAACAATTTATTATGTTCTCAAGAGAAGACACTGAAAACATTTTCACTAATCGCTAGAATAGCAAAAAGTTTCATTGGTGCATGCAAATGATCACTTTTCAAATGATAAAATGCTAAAATGCTTTATAAGCTCTTTTTCTACAGGTGTCCTGGGATTTGCTTTATTTGCATAAATAAAGTATAAATGGATACATCACAGCAGACTGCAAGGAGCAAGGTGATGCTCAACAGAGCAAATTTTAAACTGCGCCCGGCAGTAAAGAGGAGTGTTCAGTATCAGCGAGAGCACAGGTTTTGCTTCAGAATCTTACACAAATCTCCCCCTTCTGTGACTTTCCAGGTAGTCTCTTCCGTGTCCTTCACCACATTTAATCTTTCTCCCTTCTCATGAACACTCTATGTGGCCTTATTAAAATCAACTCCTGCACAAAGTATTGGGGAAAACTTAATTGGCTTTCCAGGCAAGTCTGCTTGTGATTACATTTGATATGAATGCTCTGCATATTAGCCTAAGTGAAGAAATAAATTAAGAAAGGTATTAACAGTACCATAAAACATCATCAGCCTGCACAATATGTCTTGGCTCTACCCATACGACACGCAGCAAGGAACAACAACATGCAGCCCAAAGGAAAATGGCATTGGGCATGCAAATTAAAGGGAGGGCAAGACTCCCAATCACAGCTCTGCACCCACCCAGCATAAACTCAAACCTGGAAACAATTAAGCTTGCCTATAAATCCAGAGCCTTGGGAAACTAAATGGAGTCCTAAATCAGAGAGGGCACAAAGAAGACATAGGATGAATACTCATTAGCCAAACCCACACAGTGGTTTTATGGATGTTCCTAAAAGAAGGGAACTGATAGGACTTTTATAAACCCTCAAAATAAATCACTTAAGGCACTGAAATTATAATATTAGGTCATAATGCTTTTGGCATCTTGTAACGAAAACTTTGAAATCTAGGGGATAAAAATGCTATTTTTTAAAGGCTCATTTGAGGAGTTTTGAGGGGATTATTCATTCGTTGTCTTGATCTGTCAGAGTTATTGCTAATGATCAAATTCTAACAGTGTCTGAGGACAAGAAACCTGACGCTCCTTATTTGCCATCCCACCCCACTCAGGATACGTCCTTCCACCCTTCAGGTTCCTGCCTTCTGACCTGTCTCTATATATTTTTCATTTCTTTTCATGCAAATGAAAGGAGAGAGTAGGATTCAACCTATAATTACTGTCTACCTGGCTGCTCAGCTTTGTGGTTCTCCAGGCTGAAGAACAGAACCAGAAAAGCCCTTCAGCGTGCAGATCGGGCAAGCAATACCTTCTGCTCTTGCACTGATGAAGTTCATTGTGTTTAAAGGACAACAGAGAGTGAGGCTCACCATTCAAGACAGGTAAGAACGCCTTTGTGGTTTCACAGCATCTCAGCCAAATCTCATATCTGATTCTAAAGCTGACCTTGGATTCTCTTCTATCCTTCATTGGAGGTATTTGTGGACACTTAATATATACATGTTGCAGGGAACAGGTGTCAGTCAATGGACCAGAATGCATAAACTTTGAAAATTACTAGAACTAAACACTAGAAAAATTACAAGCCCAAACTACTAGATTCCCTCATGTTTTCATAACCTACTAATTAGTTTATTGCTTTTCCAAAGTATTCACCCAATCTGGAGGACCATATTGTGAACATAAGTGTACCATTTGTTTACCCTTAAGAGGCATTTTTTTGATGTGATGACGGGGGCTACTAATCAAAAGTAATCAGTTGCATAATATAATTTTTTAGAATGACTCCTAAATCTTGCAAGAGAAAAGTCCTTAAAATGTAAAAGTAAATATGCGCCTCACCAGAGCCCGACATAAGAAAAAAAAAAAAATGTGCTGCAGATTTGGGGGGAGGGGAAATTATGTCTTTAACAGAAAATTGCTCGTGTATGTGTATTTTATTTACATCATTACTAAAGATTTTTATGTTGCAAAAACTTTATAAACTACATCATCAGTATGCATTGGCATATCTAATTTTTTATAATGCTACACCTTTGAACAAAAACTTATCATTGATAAAGACAGTGTTGATGCTGTATATTTTGTCTATACAGGAGAATCCTGCAAGTCACTTAGCTATAACATTTGTGGTTTGTCTTGTCATGTCACTTAATGCTGAATTCTTGACAAGATTTTTCCACTGCAAATAGTATTTAACACAAAGAAGTACTTCTCACTTCAGTGACTTGGAAACACATGATTTCCATCAGCCACTATTCTGTAGTTGGCAGCAGTCATAACAGGGTTTGAAATTTCATCTAGAAAGCAGTCCTCCTCAGCCCTGCACTCCAGGCCAGGTTTCCTGTCACCTCTCCTTTAAGCGCTGTCTTCACTTCCTCCCTTTAGGGAGCAAAAGGTGAGTCCCCAGTACGTGGGTCTGAGATGTTTCCCCTTTCGCCTTCAGATCTAAATTTCGCCGTCACCTCCACACAGCTGCCCTTCCTTACAGTGCAATCAAATTAGGTCTCCGCAGGGAAAGATCGTCCATGGTAGAGATGTTGCCCAAGAACACCCGGGCTGTGACTCTGCTGTGTCCCCTGATGGGGACATGGCCTCACTGATGCTGAGGTGGCTCACAGAAGACTGAGGTAAGTTGCTGTGGAATGGTGATGTTAGCCCACGCACAAAGGGACAGTTCTGAATGTGGCAAAATTTTCTCTTTTGTCTTAATTCTGGAAGGACCCTACTTACACAGAGAGGGTCACCGGGAGCTGTAAGCTGCACAGGGGAACCAGAGGACCAGGAAAAGCCAGGCAAGGAAGCACAGTTTCTGCTTCAGCTCAGGGGAGCTCCTGGCTGGGGTTACGTTCTATGTCCTTGTTAAAAATAAATAAGGATGCGGTAGTGTGGCTTCTGTCTGCTAATCCGTGACACCTGAATAGCTGCAGGCTCCCCTTGTTCTTCTCACTCATGGCATCCAGCATTTTCCTTCATAGCACTTAACCCCCTAAACTTTATATCTTTTTCTGCGTATCTCACACACGTGTCATGTTATACAATCATAAATTGAGGTCATATAAAATAACATACCTAAATAATTGCTTGTTTTCTGTGTCGAGTCCTCTTACGTGAATTCCATGAAATGGGGGACTGCAACAATTTCTTTTCCACCATTATTCCATCAGTGCACCAGAGTGCCTGACACACCAGAAGTACAAAATAAATAATTATTGAAATAAATCAATATTGAGACAGGTGCAAAAGACTACTCTATTACTGCCATGTCACCAAGACCCTCACTGTGGTTTTCTCCATGTCCAAGGCAGTCAGTGACTCTCTCTATCACCCGGAAGAGTCAATGAACTCAATAAAGATTCAATCCCTTGCCCCCTGATTCAGTACAATGCTGCGTCCCCTTCTACTGGGAGCTTCTGCTGGGGGTGGGAGGTGGAGGTGAAGCAGAAAGGGGCTCATCACTGCTTCAGCAACACTCCTCAATGAATTAATTCCTAAAAATTCCTAGTTGTTTTCATGGTGTCCTTTTCTACTTTGGGTCTCCAAGGCTCACACATATATACCAACAGGGTGTATCTCAAAATTATCTGAATTAGACATTTTTAAGTTATTTGATTTAAAAAATCCAGTTTTGAAAGCTTATTTCTGGATACTCAATGACACTCACCTCCTTGCTAATAAATAGCAATTACAATTCAGACATTCATTAACAACTTTTTATTAATTCACGTCATTTTTACATTTTCACTATTTGTTCTTCAAAATAAAATTATTGTTCTACACACAAATCAGAGAAAATTTGTTTTACACACAAATCCATACAAATGAACTGATATTTTAATAGAGACCAAAAGAAGCTGCTCAAATGAAAACAGTATTGTCCAAGTTGGGTAGGAGTCACATGAAATACTCAGGCCTAACTCTCATCATAATTAGCATAAAATGATACTTGTCACAGAGCAGAGCCTAGCAAGAGCGACCCACACCTGTCTCCTTGTAACCCTTCCTTCCTATAAAACCCTTCATCAGCAGAAATATGAAGTTATGCAGATCTAAAGCTAACCAACATTTGTAAACCACAATTCTAATACTGACCAAGTTTTCTAGCCAATAGGTTATAGAGGAAGCAGTTTATTATAATTTATAATCAGAATTTAAAATAAAAACATATGAAAAGTTCCTTAGATAGTATTTTCTTAATTAATAAAAGCCCATGTGAAGTCCCCACACACCATCTAAGATTTTTATCTTTTTCCTATTCTTTTCTTCCAATCATTACATCTTTTCATCAACTGACACTTTTACCACGCTGTCACACCTGCTTTTATCTCCCCATGTTATCTTCTAATCTCTGTCCACACGCAAATACATTTACTGTTATAATCACAGTGTACTTACTATTTTTTAACTATGTCTTTCACCATGTGCTTACCGTTTCCATGTTACGAAATTTTCCTTGTTGTTTTTCATGGCTGCCTAGTATCTCCTAATTTCCTTAAACATAGACTTATTATTGAACATTTAAGGCATTTCCTTTTTCTCTGCTATTAAACACATTTTTATACATAATTTTTTCAGCCTTTTAAATGGTTTCCTTGGTATAGATTTCCAGGAGAGAAAATAAGGGTTAAAGTACGTGAACATTTTTATGGCTTTTTCTTTGCTTAGTTATTTAATTATTTCACAAAAACGTGGGATCAATTTACACTGCTCTAGGAATCTGTGACTGCAGCACTTTTACAAAGACCTCACAACAATTCCCTTTTAGCTTTATTTTTTTTATTTTAACAGATATCAGTTAGTATTTCATTATTAATTATCAATAGGGTTGAACATTATTCTATACATTTATTCTATAGGTTTACATGAACTGTCTATTCATCTGTTCACATTCTTAACCCATTCTTCTATTTCCATCCATTTTTTAAAAGGTCTTTTTAATTAGCTGCTTGAGCCATGAACATAAATCTCTTAACCTGACCTAAATGCAAAAGGCAATAGAAGCAAAATCAGCACAAACTTGCCATGTCACCTTAGAAAACCGGGCTGTCACCAGAACCTCATTAACAAAAGAATAATCCCTCCAAGGGAAATATTGTCTGCTTAACTTAGTCAGTCTTTAGAGTTGAAGGAAGAAGAATATGTATTACTGCGGATTTGAGGGCCACACTTCATTAGGAAGTTGTACATTTTACTTTTAAATCACCAAGCAACTTTTCAACAAACACAGTGATTCATCATTAACGACAAAACAGGTTAAATGTAATTAAGCAACTATCTAAAGAGTACGGAAAACCCATGCAGTTCATTAATTCACCATCAACCTGATGTACACACTGTCCAGCACTCGTAGAAGAATAAAGGTTATGATCACTTGGATCTTGCATTTTCCAAAGTATTGGGTGGGGGACACGCCCCAGGTTACTTGACATCGCAGAGAAGGGCAACCCCACGGAGCACCCAGTGTTCAGGGGCCTGGGCCGTCCTGAGATCCACGGCGGCGATGTAATTCAAGTCCGTTCGGTCTGGCTTCTTGTAGATGGGGCAGGAATAACACCGAGGATCTCTTTCACCTACAAAAAATTCATAAAAAATAAAAAAACCTTGGTGAATTTCTAATTTAAGCAGCCCAAACAAAGTGCAGAGCCACATTTGTGCATTTTGAAGGTCATTCCAGCGAGAAGTGGGTTTAGTAGAAGGAAGGAAACTCTTCCTGAGGTCAAGCAATCTCCAGATGTGAAGTAGATGCGACTGCAGGTTTCCAGTGGTTGTGACAAGACACCGAGAGGTCCTCAGGTTTACCCCACTGGCCTCTTGTCCCATGTCCTTGACAGTAAATAACCTCTGCCCACATGACATGACCACGAACCTTCCATTGCTTCCTCCGTCTCCTCTCCACCTGTCAGTTCCACATTCCCCCTCTACCCTTTCTCCTTTACTTCCCCACCAAATCATGTACACATACCCTCCATATTTTTCCCTTATAGCTTGCCTTTGGCACAAGGCACCTGTCACTTTTAAATCAGACATCCAGCACCAGTGAGCATTATTTCACTATTATTATTATTTCAAAATCCTGTCTTCAACCCCCTGTACCATAGTCCATACCACATTTGAAATCACAGGACAGAGGATGTTCCCCACTCCTACCAGATGTTGTGAGTTCTCCGTGTGTAGAGGAATAAAAATGCCCGGAAGCAGAGATCCATGGCACAGTTCAGCTCCCTGAGATTCAATCTACCTTCTTGGAGTAGATGAATAGATGGAGTATTCAAAACCACATATGCAACGAATGTCAATCAGTGTATGTCCGTCCCTCAAATATCCTCTCTAATGCATTCATTCTAACCCAAGGCTCACTTTCTCTGTAGCCTTGGGAATCCCATGATCAGACAGATCCAGGTCTGTGGGGCCTTACACTTACACAATTTGGGGTGAGGGGTGTCTTTAAGAAAAAGAGTAAAAATTTACAAATGCAAATTTCGGCTTTGGAAGGAGCCTCTGCATTGAGCAAGCCTGAGGTTTAAGCGTCATCAGCTTCTTGTTAAATCCAGTCTGCCCGTAGTAGTTTATCTGCACATCTCATAACATCATCTCAAGAAGCAGTATCTTGTTTCCTCTTTTCTCCCAGATTCTGAATTATTTCAGGACAAAAGTAGTGTCTGCATCCATCCTTGCCCTCCTCCAGAAGGCCAATATTATAAATGACCCTCACACAACTACTAAGACAAAAACACATTTAACTAAGAGGATAACTTTGCTTTGGTGAGTTAGTGTTAACACACATGGTCACTGAAACACAGAAACTTTCTAAACGCAATGTTGATATATCAAACTTACTGAATTTATTTCCTGAAGCTAACTTGCTCAACAATTCAGCTTTTTCTAGCAAATTACAAAAGCAAGGCACTATCATAAGTTAAAGTTTCATTTTTTGAACCAATAAAACTTTCATCTTGCTGTACCATGTGTCTTTATACTTCCACTATAAATTTAAGGAATTTTATTGGAAGAAGTTAAACATTTGAATATGATAATATTATACATAAGCCTCAACATAAAATAAAAATTCTAAAGCAGCGATTCTTAAACAGGAATGATTTTACCCCCAGAGCACATTTGCCAATATCTGTCAATATTTTTGCTTATCACAACCGTGGGGTGCTATTGGCATCTAGTGGGTAGAGGCCAGGGATGCTGCTAACATCCTATAAAGCATAGGACAGCCCCTCACAACAAAAAGTTATCTGGACCAAAAATGTCAGTAATACCAAAGTTGAGAAACCCTGTTCTAAAACAAAGTCACAGATATTTTACCATACTTGAAAACTATGTGCTTGCTTAATCCCATGAAATTAATCATTAGAAACAATCTAAATTAATGTTATATACCTAATTTTTAGATCTAGGTGTTATTTTTTTAAATTACTATGAGACTATCATTAGTAATAATAATTAGGCAAGTGTACAAAAAATTCTGATTAAGTGAAGGACAGTGAATTAGTGGAGCGCAGCTAATATTAACTATACTAACTGATATATTTAAACTCGTTAATGCTAGGATCTGTAAACATAAAATAAATATATAACTAATTGTTCTTCTTGATGCAAATTTGGCTAACAACCTTTTTATAAATCTTGAAATAAGTGATTGGAGTGTTACATTTGAACCAAATGATAATTATAATAATTACACCTTGGGAAGTATTTGATTACTTGGATTTTAATCCCGAAAGAAAAATAGAATTGGAAAAAAATAGCATTCTTTTCAATAAGCTGGTAAAAAACAATTCTCTGAAATGTTTATCCAGTTTTATTTATTTTTTAATTGCTCCAGAACCGAAGGTGCCCACGCCAAGTCACAGCATGAAGCAAACTTTTGCAGCAGGACTAGAAGCCACTGAAAATATAATTTCATAGTGAAAGTGCTGACAGATGCTAAACAACCACATAAACAGATGATTTGAAATCATTACCCCTAGTTAGACAAATAACTCTGAAGACAAAAAAAACATGCTAGGTAGGTAGAACAAATCAGCTAAGTATGTTTGAAGCCTTAGGGTTCCAGAAGGAGGAGCAGACAGAAGAGGCTGTGTAAATTGCTGAACCAAATGCTTTAGGATCCTAAAGGTTTTAATAAAACATCTTGAGGGAATTTCATTTTCTAACTAACTTCCCTCTCTAGCCTACATTTTTCATCCAACTGCTAATATATCATCACATCATATATTCCTTCCAATATACAAAATAACCAAGTTACGTAGAGATTCCCTACATAACCTTTAAATCATTCCTTTATTTAACCTCTCTTTTGCTAATAACATTTAAATTATTACATAGTGCACTCTTATATTTGATATTTCTTTTAATCCTTCAACAAGCATGTGTTACACATATTAGTAACAGTAATGATAATAAAATGATTTATTGTATGCTAACTATGTTCTGGACCTTGTCAGTTTGATTCTCTCAACAACCCTATGAGACGGGTACCATTATTAAATCCATTTTACAGATGAAAAAACTGGCACATAAGGATGTGAGTGACCCGTCCAAGGTTACAAAGCTGCGGGTGATAAGAACTGAACCTGGCCAGAACGGATCAGGAGCCTGTGCTCTTTCTCAGCAATAGTTTAGGATGTACTGCACGTGTGTGCCTCTACACCTTCGCAGGAAGATGTGAAAATGAACCGCAGCTCACTGAATACCTGACCTCAACTTGTGGCATATTTGAGACTCCTCCAAAGCCACGTGACTAATTACTAGGGTGATAAAGCCAGGAGAGCAACCCAAATATCCAGCTCCTGGCTCACTTTCTTTTACCTGAGAACATGTGCTCCTCCCCCCCCCGGGGGGAGGGGATGACCACCGTTAGCCTGCAGCATGGAGGGAGGGAGGCCACAGGGAACAAGAGCACACATCCACACAGAGCAGATGCTTTTACTGTGTCTGCTTCACCATGGACCTGAGAAAAAGAAACTCATGACTTCAAAATGCAAGGGAGGGGCCGGCCGGGTGGCGCAAGCGGTTAAGTGCGCGCGCTCCGCTGCGGCGGCCCAGGGTGTGCAGGTTCGGATCCCACGCGCGCACTGACACACCGCTTGTTAAGCCATGCTGTGGCGGCGTCCCATATAAAGTAGAGGAAGATGGCCACGGATGTTAGCTCAGGGCCAATCTTCCTCAAGGAAAAAAAAGGGGAGGAGGATTGGCATCAGATGTTAGCTCAGGGCTAGTCCTCCTCACAAAAAAAAAAAAAAAAATGCAAGGGAGCTGTCCTCATGTTCAATTTAGCCTTTACTTTCAAGCTTCATCCCAGACACGGCAGAGACTCCCTAAATGCACTGTCTTAAGCAGAACACTAACCCCAGGAATTCCCAGAGGTTCGCATTCATCCCACAACAGACAAATGTGATTTCTGATACCAGCTGTGGTAGCCGGGAGTTATAGGCAAGTTACATAATGTCTCTAAACCTTCATTTCCCCATCTGCACAATAGGCATGATATCTTACAGAGTTGTTGTGAAGATTAAATAAGTTAATATATGTGAATGTCTGGCATGTATAATGCCTGGATGCAGTAGAGGCCTGAGATGTGTTAGATTTCTCTTCTATCTCTCTATAGACACACACACACACACACACACACACACACACACACATGCACATATACACACACACTTACCTTTTCACTAAAACAAATTCCCCAGACTCACGTTTCCCATAACTTGAACAGAGTTCCAGGTTTACACCCTGAAAGTGGATTAAATGCTATGGGGCTCAGGAGTCAGGAGGTCTCCACTTCCCGGTCACTGCATGGGATTTTCCTACCCCTAGCCCCTCATCTGCAGGGCTGGATCAGGGTGGGTCATGGGATGTTCTCAGAAACACTTTTTCCCTAGCAGGAAATACCCTCATTACTGCAGGGACCCTGAGATCTCTCTCACCCTACTTAGTGACCAGAGGGACATAGAAGTCTTGCTTTTTTCCCCCAAATGTTTTCATCACTATTTTCCAATCACATCGGCTACAGCACTGAAGTTCATTGAGAAGCATCACTCCGTCTACATAGTAAAGCTGTGAGGAAACATATCTTTCCTGTACCTGCCTCTTTTTAACTTCCTTTGAGATCAGAGGAGCTAGGGTTGGTGTGGGTGGCTTTATCCTCTTGGTGAATTTAGTACTTTTTGGGTGACTTCCCACGATGTCCCAACAAGAAATATGAATAAAATAAACATTTTGGGATACATCACTCAATTTTTAGAGGTAAAATAAATCTTTGGCTTCTTTTTGAAAACAAATAAATCAGTCCTGTACGTAAAATTCAATGATGAATTATTTAAACTGAAAATTGCTCTTCACATTAATATAAAAACAACTCATTATAAGAATTCTAATTTTAAAACACTGCACTTTTGGAATGTCCTTGGTCATTCACAACACTACACCTCTTTACCTCAATTAGAGCCCTATTCAGTTCTCAAAATTGAATGAAAATTAGATTTACAGTATGAAAAGAGGGATGAGATGTTAGCTTTTCATCACTACAAAAACACATCTAACAACAAAGCTATTTGGTAAAACAAGCTTCAACCAACTTCTACTGAAACTTAAAGGAGCATAAAGAACTAAAGATTTTTTTTCTCTTTTTTTTTAAGTACTTTGAAATTAGAAACTTTTTCCTTTGCTTATTTTATTTCCTCCCTTACATGCTGCTAATGAGCATCACCACTGACTAATGCCCAGCAGGATGAGTACAGTTCTTCTATAAAAATCTATTCTTAAATAATAAAGAATTGCTTTATTATAAAATTATTACTTTATTACATCCATGCTGAGATATTCAGTGTCATATTGCAATGGATTTTTACAATTTAGTCACAAGAAATAAAAAAGTAAAACACCTGACTCAATGTGAGACAGATTTTTCTTTCACTTTATAAGGAAAACATTTTTACCTGTTGACTAGATGCAATGATATGATAAAGCAAAATTTCTAAAATATTATTTTTGGCTAAAAGAACATTTGATTATTATTTCTATAAAATAATCACTACTCCAAGATTTCACACCATCCTAGGGATCAATAAATACAAAGCCCCATGTGGCATACTTGCCTAAGCCCAGGCAGACACATTCATCCTCTCAGATTCAACTAGGACATACTGAGTAACACCATGAGCCAAGAACTGTGCTGAGCCCCTTCTGTTTCTTTTCTGTGCTCAGCTCTCTCCGTAGGCTCCTCTTCCTTCATACAGCTTCTTTCTGTTCCTCAAACCCAGCATTTCCATTGCTACCTCATGCCTTGGCACAATTGCCTTTGCTCCTGGAGATTAGCAGGGCCACTTTCTGTCACTCAGATCTCAGTTCAATGTTCTCTCTTCAACAAGGCCTTCCTTGAACCCCTAAATTATCTCACTCCCTAGCATACCACGTGTGTGTTTCCTTTATCAAAACAAGAACTATCTGAAATCAGTATGTTCATTTATAGTCGATTGTCATTATTCATGAGACTTATGTATGTCAAGTCTCTATGAACACTGAATTAGCGACTCCCAAACCATTGCTCCAAGGGGAAATACAGGGTTAGGCTCCTGTGAGCCTCCGGTCGCAACATTTTTGTCAACCCATCAATACATAATCTTGGTTTACGTGTGTTTCTGTTTAAAGACACCTTTTAATATACACTGTTGCTTCACTAACATTGAACTCAAGGCCAACAGCACTGTGCCTCATGCCTGAATGAAGCGTATCTAATACACGTATTTTCTCCATAACGCCCATCACAGCCTTCTTGCGCTTAGGAACACTAGACAGGCTTCAGCACTACACTTGGGGGCCATTTTAAACTGTGAAAAGTACAAAAATGTGAAAAATGTAGCACTAAATAAACCACAAAAAGGACACTTGTTTACAGTGTGAGGGCTGAAATAGGAAGGCAGAGTGTCGCCTTCGTCAACCTCAGCAGGAACGTGTGTGTCGTGTGACTCACATTTTTCACTGCTTCCTGCAGGGTCTGCAAATGACCATGAAAGTGCCACAAGCATTGAGTTGGGGGCTAGAAATAAATTTTAGAGTGTAGGCAAATTCATAAGTACAGAACCCATGAGTAACAAGGATCGACTGTATTTGTTTGCTTCTTTTTCAGCTACTCTACCCTCTTTGAGACTGAATTCCATGAGAATGGGGATTCTGTCTGGGCTTTTCCACTGTTGCATCCCCAGCACTAGAGTAGTGCATGGCAGGTGGTCAAGACCAGACAAATGCTCACTGAATGACTGAGTGAACTAATGCTTATCTCCCTCAAGAAAAGTCTAACTCTAGCTCCCCGTCACACTCATTCTCGTCCTCCAAAGCACATCTCAGAAGCCATCTCCTCTAACCTCCAGGCCTAGCTATGTTCTCCTTCAGGCTCCCTGAGCACCCGGAGTGTATCTTTTTTGTAACATGCACCAAATTCTATTTTAATTATCTATTTACTTAACAGTCTTCCTCACTAGAGTGTGAGTCCCTTGTGGGCATCTGGTTCATAATTATTTCTGTATCCTTTGCACTTAAGGTCCTCGCTGGTATATATTAGGCATCCAGCAAATATTTGCCTAGAAAATAAATACACAGTTTATAAACTCTCTTCCCTTGACCTGTATTTCCAAATGTGATATTTATCTAAAGGTCCAGGATACTAAAAGCCGTCTTTTAAAGAGGGATTATTTTATCCCTTTTTTAAAGAAAAATCTTCTTTGCTTCTATGGTAAAATCAGCACTTCCTTGGAATCTGCTATCATGGCTACCTCTAGAGTTTATGGCTTATAGGACTCATTTCACTGTGTAAATGTATATCAAATCATCGTGTCATACACCTTTAATATACACAATTTTTATTTAAAAAATAAAATGAAGGTAATTTCCTCATGTGCTGAAAGGTGGTTATTGCCGAGGAGATGTTAGCTGAGTGAAATGCAACCAAAGTCTCCAGAAAACATCAAACTAACAGTGAAAAATAGTCTAGGTATTTTTTTTTTTTTTTTTTTTCTTCCTCTTCTTTTTTTTTTTTTTTGTGCTGAAGAAACAGGAGT